CCTGGACAACTCCCTTCGTGGTAAAACTTTTAACGATGATGACGCTGTAAAATCTCACTTCACTCAGTTTTTGGCCGAAAAGGATCAGACTTTCTACGAGCGTGGAATTTTCAAGTTGTCAGAGAGATGGCAAAAGGTCATCGAACAAAATGGAAAATACATTACAGATTAAACTTCATTCCAAGTAAAAAAAATTTTTATTTCATTGAACAAATCGGCAATTACTTAGTTGCCAACCCAATATGTTTTCGAGAACGTTGCCTATAACATCTCAAAATCTACTTAATCAATTGCCTTTTTAAATGCTCATCAGTCATCAAATTTCAAAATGTTTTCATTTTTTTAATTATTGAATTTTTTCATTTGTTCTAGTACCCGCTGTAGCCAAACTCATACTAATTAAGAATATCGCATGCTTTTTCACTTCAAATAAACAAAATCACCTCAATCATGGTCACCATGGGACGATTTTTTAAAAATTTAACTGTGTTCGAAAATTTATAAACGTTATTAAGCCATTTATAAATAAACATCGCAAATTTTGAATTTGTCTGTAAAAGGTGTTATAGATTTCTCGCAAAAAAAGAATCCTATACGTTTAAAGTTAAACAAAAATATAATTGACACTAGAATACCCGCTTAAGAGGAGCCTCAAGCAAACCGTTAAAATAAGGATGATTTTTTATAAATTTTTTAATTCGGCAAACTTTTTATAACGTAAAACATTCATGAAACTTTTCGTTACTTTTCGTACATACCCTTCATTTAATTGCAATTAAAAATTCTACGCAAAAATCACTCTTTTCTTTTCAAAGCCGCTTATTATTATTCTTTTTGCATTTTTTTCTTAAAATAAAATTTAGGTTCGTACGACGTCTAATATGAAAAAACTCAATTTTATTCTTGTTCTAGATCGATTGAAGAAAAATGTTAAGACTGCAACACCATCGACCGAAACAAACCTTTATGTACCTTGACATGTCAAAGAATATGTACTGTAACGGAAACTTCTATGAATGTTTTACGTTGTTAAAATCAACCATTCTTATTTTAACAGTGAGGCTTCCTCTTAAATGCCTCACGGTTCTACGCGATATCGAAGTGCTTTATGCAGTATTCTATGCAGAGTCACATTTACGGGTATGTCACGAGCGATGAGTGTACAAAGTACATAGATAAGCAACAAATACTCACTGTACGTAAAATGGTAGGAACGGTGTTATGACCTTGACCGCCAGCGAGGGTAAAATATCCGCCAGCAAAATAGCTCCGGTTGATAGCGTGTTGCAGGAGCGGATTCCGGTGGTGTTAATCGTTGCGTTAGTAGTAACCGATACGCTGGAATCCTTGAATCACACGAATGCACAGCAAATGAGAAGCGTGAAAAAGAGAATCAGGATACGATTGACACGGTACTTTTGACGCCTTGCGTTTTCGTAGATCGGAAAATCAGCTGTACCAATATTGCCGTAATTCGGTTCGCCGCGGAAGTTGTCGACGCCGATATCTATTTTCACGGACATTACCTTCTTGAACGCGCGAAATATTAATTTCCATGGTTGCTCGCGGCTTACATAAGAAGTTCGCGTTGTTAAAGAGCCGTTCGTGTTCACAGACGGCGGAGGTGGATCTCGATTACACAATGTGATTCGCATAGATTCGTCGATGACATAACAAAAATTTCTGCACGACAGAATCCGTTCTGCTTCGAAGTCGTAATTCAAGCGTAATTAATCGTTGCACTAACGACTCCTGCCTCCGCTCTTAGAGGATAGCTGTGGTACACAATGCGCCGGCTAATTAAAACAATAGAGATCCGCTACCACGGGGAATTCGAGACGATTGTCTATCGAATACCGATCGCGCGAGCTGGCCGCGCGTACAGGGAATTACGTTCGGCTGATTTCGCGAGAACTCGAAACAACTTAATGACTTTACAGTTAGAGGTCTCTATTGCACGTGTAGCAGAATACACGTATATATAATACATCCGTGTGTTAGCCCTCGTAACACACACTCGCACGGATTAATTCGTTTAGAAAGTTTAACAGTAGGATTTTATTTAGTTTCGCGGAGACACATAACAAAAATGAATGTTATCGTTTGCTGACACAAAAAAAAATGAAAATAGAAGAAGAAATAAATGAAAAGGAACGATTGCGAGTTACTTGGAAATTGTTTTATTCGATTAATATCCTGCGTTTTGATAAAAAAGAAAGAAACTAAAATGTTCACTTTCTGAACGAATTAAGACACGGATACGTTAATTATGCGTGTATCCGTGTATGTACTTGTGTGTTAAGAAGTACACGGGTTAGTACACCGGTGTACACGTTTATGTATATACGATACCTGTTCAAGAGACCGAGATCCCTAATTTACACGCGAGTCGAAATTTTCTACAGTATTTTTAACGTATTTTTTTATGCTTTGAACCGCGCTGCGCATATGGCTCTTGAAATGAAAATTAATGGACTAGTCGATAACACCACCGTGACGAAGATAATGCACAACTCGTCAAAAGAAAAAGTGATATTGTTCGTCTCTTCAGGGTGAATGAACTACGCGATTCATTAGTTATTATTTAATGAGATCGGAATAACAACATGCCTCGACAGTTCAGCTATCATTACCATATTGTGGGACTTGTAACATGAAAACTTTTCAAACAAATTCAACCGTTTGAAGTCGGAATTATCTTTGTTTGATGTACGTTCAATGAATTATTATGTATAACTGGCAAAAAGTATTCGCGCAGCTTTTAAAACGCAATAATTTTTTAAAAACTGAAATATAGTTGCTTGCGTATCGAATATCAACGTACATATTCGATATTGTACATAAAACAGTAGCATTAATTTATCTGTCTATAGCAAACATAATTAACTTATAATAAAAGTGATATCTAACTCAGCACACCAATTTTTATTTTAAGTGTATCGTTTACGGAATCAGTAATTTTTCATTGTTAATTCGATTTCGTATTTTACGGAAGCGATACGCTTGATTTAATCAAGTTAAAGACAGGCAAATTTCAACAATCGGAACCACGCACGATCCCTTCGCACTCGTTTCATTTGATGGACGTCGGGGTGCATCACGTTTAATTGAGTTGTTCTATTGCTCTATGCGATGTCATCTGCAACCGGAGCATCGTTAACGACGAGAATTCAATCGATACAAGGACCTAATCACAAGTTTTGTAATGTCGGTCGGATGAGTTGGTGATTCATCGAACCGCGCATAGGCGAGCGATAGAAGCGCGCATGTATCAGTCACGTTTCAACGAGTTCGTTGATTCGAAGTGAATCGTCCGCGCGCAACACGCCTTTAACGCGTTACAAGCTCATTACATCGTAATCGGTTTTTGTATTTTATCGACGCAGGTAAACAAGAAAATATTGGACAGGTTTCAAGGCGTCCGGCAGATTTCTCCGTCGATTGCGCGCCGTTTCGTAATCGCACCGTTTAATTTGAAATTCAATGTTTCCATTTATACGTATATTATCGTCGAGCGTGGAAATTTCTTTACTTACCGTTTTTAACAGGGTTCGGAATAGTTCCGGAACTTTTCCGTAAGCTACATTGGAATTTATTATGTGTGATAGCTTTTATAGTATTGTAAAAATTCTCGTATTATAAGTTCCGATAAGCGGTCAGATATAAAAATATTCTTCAGATCGATCATTTTGGTTTGTCTAGAATTAATGAAATTTAAAAATAAAAGTTTTAATCATACATTTTGCTAATCGGTATAGAGAGGGTTCTTAAACATTATAACAAGTGCCGAATATTATTTAATGAATAATATAGTAACAATATTCTGGTTATTAACAAAAAATGAAAATATCGTTAAATATATATAGCATATAATAATTTGATGTTTTACTTATTTTATAGGGAACATTTTTACTAAATGTTGTAATAAGGATTTGTAGCTTTGAAATAAACCTATCATTGACGACCAGATAACCGATTCCTCGTTTATTATTTTGCAATTATTGAAATTATAATGATGCTTCTATATTGGAAACGATGCATTAATTGTCTCTACCGAAGTATATATTTTACGAGAGTATGTTTCGTGTGAAATATACGTTAGCGAAAAGAACTTCGACGAATATATATGCGTCGATAACGTTACTCTTGTTTAATACTAAACCTACCGCGGTCACACAGAGTGGCCGCTTTCTTATTTTGCAATTCTGCAAAGTTCCGAGACTCTTTCGTGGAAAACGCTTGAATAAGTTATATTATTGGAGCAAGTTTTATAATAAAAGCTTTACAAATTCTAAATAAATTCGGTCTTGTCACTTTTGTAAAGCGGTACATGTCAGTTAGTATTACTGCTTGGTAGGTTTAGCGTTAATAATACGAAGGAGCTCGACACGTTGTATTTTAAATCGGAACTGTATCGTATCATTTTACAGCAGAATATTTTATCGTGGCCTGAAGTTCTTATCGCACGATTTCTCTTTCACTTCAATATAGTGAGATAAGCTTATGCATGAATAATATCTCACATAAAGAATAGTACCTTCTTTTTACCTAGTAATCAGCCGCAGTTGATAACACTATCTTTCCCTTACAACACAAAATAGCAAATAGTAGCAAGAGTTTTTACTTCGTCGAAACATAACCGTGCAGTAAGTTAAAACTATAAAGTGCTCGTTTCTACAAACATTTAATAAACTTTAAATTGTGGTTGTTTGCATTTCCATTCAATTACCTCGCGTTTAATTTTAATATGACAATAAAATTTAATTGCCGCCTACACGAAACAACAGTTTTTGTAGAACGGCCAGGTGAAGTTAAAGTAAAACACAGCTCATAATGATTGCATTCTTCGCGTATGTCATTGCTATACCATCGACTACAACTTCGTGACTGCATTAACCTCTACGAATCTCTACAAAATAGTATTCTGAGACCGTCCGCGAGAATATCGAATTTCGCTTCTCTTTTTGCTGCTGCAAGTACCAATAGAATTCCTTACACAAAAGCGTACGAAACGATGAAGATAAGAAAATCGACGGAAGCAAAACAGATTCCCGAATTCGATCAAGCTCCCCGACCTCCCCGTTTTCCCCCCAAAAAACAATGAATGAGAACCGGATCGATCTACTCACCGCCGTGCCGAATTTGCTCTCGAGGATATCGTGCGCGGCGCTAAGCATCACCACGTATCCATAGTTATTGCAAAGGCCGAGTATCCAGAAGGCGGCTAGGTTCCGCCATCGCGATCTCACGACGATCGAGTCCTCGTCGAATAGATCGTTGCTGCGCCGTTCGGGCATGGGCAAGGCTTTGTTCTTCGACATGGTGCTTCTGCCTCCTCGAAAGGTTCTCCTGTTCTCGTGTCCGATTTCTAATCACTTCTCCAGCTCCTTTTTTAGCACCGTTCGTCTATAGCACCGTGTCTCTTCGGCACAGTACTTTTTCAGCGCCGTTCTTCTTCAGCTTCGTCGTGTTTCACAACTTGCCTCTTTCCTCCTTCTTACCGAAGAAATAGGAGTATAATAATGTAAAAGATCTTTGTTCCAGGATACCTTGGTTCAGCTCTCAACGTAGCAACGACCAATCTTTAGCAATGTGGCCAAAGCTTTCCCTCTCCTTTTCTCTTTCTCAGGGCTGACGCAGTAGCTTGCTTCCCCGCTCGCGCGACCTCCTTCTCCACCGATTCGGCCTGACGTATGATCCTCTTTTTTAAGCTGATGGCCAAGGTCAGCGCCACGCTTCGCGATACTGCTCTCCTTCTCTCGTCGCAGTGCTATCTTGCGAGGCTAAGGGCTTCCGGCGCCTGTGCTTAGAAATAACTCTGATCCGTGTCTGCGCGATTAGAGAAACCAGTTCACGGTTTCTCGCGTCTAGAAGCTTGTTTTTCACGCCTGTCGAGCGGGACCGTTCCCCCGATCGGCAGCGTTTCTTGTCAGAGTTCAAAATCAAGGCCCCGTTTCCCTTGGTGACGAAGGTCGCGCGTGAGAGATCGCTCCGTGACGACTATTATGTCAGTGTCTCGACTGTGACTTATCTTCGCGACCAGTCGGACTACCAATTGACTCCGCGATCGCTGAAATTAACGGGAGAACGTCTCGCCTTCTGACCAAGTTCGGGCAAAGTTACGTCACGCGAACCGCGACCTACGCGAGCACAGGTAAGTAGAAGACTGGGTTCCTTCCCTCTTTCACTGGGTAACCCCTCTCTCGAACATTCCAAGAGCAAACCGTTCCGAGAGCGCCCGGCGATGGTAGATAGACAATAGGAACGGTGGCCAAACTTCGACTGTTCGTGGACGCGTCGATTCACCGTGTGCCCAGGTGCAATCCGTTCCCGACAATTTCACTCTTTTCTCCGGCGCGACTCCCCACCTGTTCCACGACCGCTTTTATCTGATCGTTCGACTTATCAGTGAGAGATTCGGGATACTGGGAACGGCGACCAAGAATGCGGCCTTAGGTATTTCCCTCGGGACAGATCGTCACGATCGATCGGATCGAAAGCTTCGTTGAGTCGGTTTCCTCGGGAAATCGGTCGGCAGATCAGCGACTGACACGCGAACACTGTTGAAACTGGAAAGCAAATGTCCCGGATTCGATTAGAGTTGCAAATTGAGAGGAACGTCGACAAGCAGTGTAAAGATATGAGTATACTGCGGATTTTATGCATGTGTGACAAACATTATCGGGTCAAATGCAAAACGGTAAAAACATTTAAAGAATTTAAGAATATTGTTGCATTATTTTCAAGTTGTTAAGACAATTAAGAAACTGAATAAATGTCTATGTATCTTGCAATTAGTGCAGACAGTTTTTATTTTGCATAAAAGTCCGCATATGTGCTTATTGATTCTTTGATGAAGGGAATTTGCAGAATTAAAGTATTTTATTTAATCGAGTTAAAATTGAAAAGTTCTATTGTACGATATCGATTACATTTTCAACATTCGAATATGAGCAAATAATTCCATTATCTGCATATAAGGGTGACATGGCAGACACAAAGCTTTATTACCTTATTTATCGGTTTGATTGGTCTATTTATAATTGATTGAGTTCTATGTAAGAGAAGCTCGATAGTTTTCTTTTGAATAATAATTTCAGTTGAAGTTGTTACAGTGGGAGAATCGAACCCGTCGAAATGAAAAATTCCCAATTCTTTATTTTACAATTACGTTTTAAAAGGCATTGCAAATTATAACACATTACAATTATTTTTAAAAGACGGTTTAAATTATAACGTATTACAATTATTTTTAAAAAGCAACGCGGTGCTCAGTTGTTCTAGCGTTAATTGAAATTATTTGTTAGATTATGGACGAAATTGCTGTGGTTGTAGAACAATCTTTTTCAAACAATTCTCAACTGTCCATGCCAGATCCGAAAAAGACTGTTAGAAGACTGTTGGTAGATAAAGTTTCAACATGCCCTGCCAGCAGCTAGTTTCTCGGTTTAAAACGTTATCTCGCGTAATCCATTTTAATCTAACTGATGAAAAAGGTTCTTGCAAGACGATGGAAATGTCGGTCATGTTTTTCGGAATCGGAAACTGAGTAGAAATGTCGGCGCTTCGATTAATGAGACAAAATTGTTTTTTAATGCTTGCTTTTTGATACTTAGGTTTTGGTGCATCTAACATAACAATAACGTTCAGCAATATTGCAGACCTTCTGGAGGTATTGAAAGGAACTGTAATTATGACTGTTTAATTGACTGCAGTGCTGCTGCAACTGTTCGATGAATAGACGTCGCAAAATTTATAAATGTTTGCATACAATGTTCGCTGGGGCTTCAGTTTCTCTTTCTTAGTCAGTTTCTCATCACTCAATTCATTACCCAGCTACAAAATTTACTTGGAGCGATGTAATATTGTTTAAAATCTTGTTTATTGCAACTGTGCGTAGCGAGCATAATGTATTTATGGCTGAGGCAAGCGTAGATCTGTAAATCCGACTCGTGAATTAAACATGATATCGTTCCAAGCCCACGTACAATTTAATCATAACAGCGACACGCGAAATCGCTACTCTGAACACTAATGACGTTACAGCTTTATGAAATAATATTGTTAAAATTGCAGAACGTTGGATAATCAAAATCGTTAACGTAATAAGCTCGTGGGCGGTCGCTAGAAACAAATTATGCGTATACAGCTACTCGGAAAGGAGTTTGTAAAAAATAAATTCAAATAAGTAAAACTTATTAGTACTCGAACGAGACGAAGGTCCAGTTCACTTGGGCCTAAAGCTGATAAACTGTTGTTTGAATACCATATTTCCGTTAAACTAATTAAAATGTTTACGTGTTTAATTGTTAAGTTGCGGATCCTTGTGCAAACTAGAAATTTTGTATTTCAATTGCGACAAACAAGAATTAAATAAAAATTTATTTTCATTTTTAACATTTTTAATCGGTTGAAAATAGTCGAACAGCATCGTTAAATTTTGTCATTGCATTTACTGCGTTAAATGCATTAAATCCACAGTCTACTCATTACGGTTTATACGAGGAACTAACGTATCTAGAAGGAGCATCTTAAAAAATATATTGGAAACAAGTTGATAATTAGAATTATGAACGGCCCAAGTATACTCGGTTATATTTCTGTCAGAAAGGTTCGCCGAATTTGATAATTGGACTGCGGATCTTCATGCATAATAAAAATCGTCAAGGTTAAGTGTAAGAAACATAAGTTGGATAAACGTCTATTCCTTTCGATTGTTTGAATAAATTCAAAATAATGTCCTGTTCAAAATAATATCCTTAAATTCTTCTAATGCCTCTACAGTTTTATATTTGACCTTATCATTTTTCTCATAAATACACGAAATCCACAGTGATAATGTAAAATCCATTCGAGGTAACAATGCGACATGAGTTTAAGTTGATTAGGTACATTAAGAGATCATTGCGAATGAATAATTTCAAACAATATCTAAGATGATCCATAAAGGATCCCATTGCACGTACGATTCCTTAACTACTGTCGGTGCCAAATGTCCAAAACCAATTGTCTCGTTACTAGAAGCAGACGTTAAGTAGGAAAGGCCGAGATATCGCATTCCCGGGAGCGAATCAGGCGTTAATTGTATTAAAACAATGTCCTTGAGACCGTTCCACTAGGACCGCGATGGACATTGCCATTTCTCGCGACACGTTCCACGGCAAAGAATCATTTCGGTGACCTCGATTGCTGTCAATCGATGTTGCAATTAACGACGCACGCGTATCGACTATCATCCGATCAAACCATAATCCACGTTATCTCCGTGGAAGGTTTACAATATCTTTATTCAACGTTTAGCAACTTCTCTATAATCCAAATGGGGGCCGAGATCGCGATTTGAATCACGTGGTTTGGCAATGCCCACTGGTTGATGGTAGATGAGATGGTAAAGAGGACACGATATCCAGTCATAGAACGAAGGACTTTTATTTGCTTTATTCCATGGATATTTTTCTGGCAAAGCAGAAAAAACCGCTACCAATAACATACAAATTTCTCAAGAAACCCTCTGTGAATCTTTGAATCTAAAACATACATACTTATAAGTAGACCGCGGATTTCATGTATTGGGTTGGCAACTAAGTAATTGCTGATTTCAGTTATAGATGTCCCTCACTCACATTTTTATAATATCCGTAAATGTTATATTATAAAATTATTAATATTATTATTATTATTATTATTATTATTATGTTATTTTTTATTACCCGTGAATGTTAGCAAGTGGACAAATTGAATGCAGCGGTCAAGGAAAAGCGAGCAGGATTGGTCAATCGTAAAGGTGTCATTTTCCACCAGGACAATGCTAAGCCGCGAACGTCTTTGTTCACTCGGCAAAAATTGATGGATATTGGTTGGGAATTGATGTTACACCCACCATATAGCCCTGATCTCGCGCCATCGGATTACCACTTATTTCGATCCCTGGACAACTCCCTTCGTGGTAAAACTTTTAATGATGATGACGCTGTGAAATCTCATTTGACTCAGTTTTTGTCCGAAAAGGATCAGACTTTCTACGAGCGTGGGATTTTCAAGTTGTCAGAGAGGTGGCAAAAGGTCATCGAACAAAATGGAAAATACATTACAGATTAAACTTCATTCCAAGTAATAACAAAATTTTTTATTTCATTGGACAAATCGGCAATTACTTAGTTGCCAACCCAATATTTACAACGAAAATATACAGATCAAGGTTAAGAGAATTTAAGATTGTCATTGTATTATTTTCAAGTTATTCAAATTATTAAAAGGAGAAGAAATTTCTACCTGACAACAAGTTGTTGCAATTGACAAGTATACAGTCTTTACTTTGCATAAAGATCCGCAGTCTATTTGTAAGCAGATGTTCCTGCAACTGTATCACACACACATTCTTTTCTCCTCCTTTCTTTACTCTTTCTGTATCTTATTTGTTTGTATGTACGTATATTGCTAATAACCCCGCCGGGGGTTCACAGTGGCGAAATAAATAAAAAGAGAACTGCTGTACAAAGAATCGCACGGTTAGCGATTACAACAGCCTTCGAGGAGACGATAATCTAAATGCGAGACGTTTGATCTCGCTTTCATCAAGCGTCAACTCATCGTCCGCGAGTTTCGCTGCGCTCTGGTTGTCCAAGTATTCGCGTTGTTATCACGGTCCGGCTACTTGCGAGTCGTTATCGTGTCCGCTACGAAATTCATTTATCTCATCGCAAGCAAGTTCCGGTGACAGTTTCCAGGCTGGCTCTGGTTCCAAGGCATCCGTTGCCTCCGCGGAAACCATTTTTGTCGAGATGTTAATCAGTCACGCGATTCGATCACACGGTGATAGAGTTCAAAACGTACCCGATGCCGGTCCTACTCGCGATGAGCGTTGCGTCAAAAAGGTTCCGAAAAGAGGTGCACTTTTTCTGGAGAAAGGAGAAACGTAGACGGCGCAATACATGATCGTGGAAGATCTGAAAGAAGAGGGATTTCTTCTTGCTCCGAAAAATGGGTTCGTCGTGTCAAAGTTACAAACTCTTCGTGTCGCGGAATATTAACATTGTGTTATTTCTGTCGTACAAGATATCGGATGAAAATAAATACTTGCGTGCACTGACAGCTTGTTCCAATGTTCGCCGTTTCGAAGTGAAATCTCAATTAGATTGGCAAGATGTGCCGTTTTGTATTCACAGAGATAACCTACCAATTTATTTGCCAGCTTCGAAATCACGATTTCCGCGAGGTTGGCGTTGGCGATCATAAAATTCTACAGAGGCGTGACCGTCGCTTTGACATCGTGGAGACCGCCGCGATTGTAAACATTGCGTGCCGGTCGCGGATGGAAAGGGTGATCGAACAATACGATAGGAGCTACTGTCAAATGGTGTATTTTCGATCGGTGAATGACAGATGACAGGAGGAAAGGATCGTGGAGCGAGGAACGAGTTGTTTTGGATGCACTTGTTATTCAGCGGCTGTTGACGCAATACATTTTCGAAACACTCACCTACGATATCGTCGTCGTTTACCAAGAAGATGAGCTGGGCTGACGGCGCAGACAGTGCTGGAACGAATCGAAATGTCTTTGGTGAAAATTGCGAATAAATATCGTTATCACAAGAAACACAGATCACAGCGACGGAAGCGGTCCCGGCGAACGATATCACAAACGCTGGTTGCCGATTTTAGCAGCAGAATGCTAGCAAAACTCGATGCACTGAACACCCTAACGTACCCTTAAAGCGTGCTACAGAGAAAGCCTGGGTTCGTTCGGTTGGCGATTGCAATAACTTCTAAATAGAGTCGATGCACCGGTGCAACGCTGCGAAAGAGAAGTAAGAAACCACTTCAATCGGCAACGACCACTATATGTTTTTATCCGCTTTTTTGCAGTTCGTTCGGGTACACGGCTAATCGCGCTCCCCCNAGTAATTGCTGATTTCAGTTATAGATGTCCCTCACTCACATTTTTATAATATCCGTAAATGTTATATTATAAAATTATTAATATTATTATTATTATTATTATTATTATTATGTTATTTTTTATTACCCGTGAATGTTAGCAAGTGGACAAATTGAATGCAGCGGTCAAGGAAAAGCGAGCAGGATTGGTCAATCGTAAAGGTGTCATTTTCCACCAGGACAATGCTAAGCCGCGAACGTCTTTGTTCACTCGGCAAAAATTGATGGATATTGGTTGGGAATTGATGTTACACCCACCATATAGCCCTGATCTCGCGCCATCGGATTACCACTTATTTCGATCCCTGGACAACTCCCTTCGTGGTAAAACTTTTAATGATGATGACGCTGTGAAATCTCATTTGACTCAGTTTTTGTCCGAAAAGGATCAGACTTTCTACGAGCGTGGGATTTTCAAGTTGTCAGAGAGGTGGCAAAAGGTCATCGAACAAAATGGAAAATACATTACAGATTAAACTTCATTCCAAGTAATAACAAAATTTTTTATTTCATTGGACAAATCGGCAATTACTTAGTTGCCAACCCAATATTTACAACGAAAATATACAGATCAAGGTTAAGAGAATTTAAGATTGTCATTGTATTATTTTCAAGTTATTCAAATTATTAAAAGGAGAAGAAATTTCTACCTGACAACAAGTTGTTGCAATTGACAAGTATACAGTCTTTACTTTGCATAAAGATCCGCAGTCTATTTGTAAGCAGATGTTCCTGCAACTGTATCACACACACATTCTTTTCTCCTCCTTTCTTTACTCTTTCTGTATCTTATTTGTTTGTATGTACGTATATTGCTAATAACCCCGCCGGGGGTTCACAGTGGCGAAATAAATAAAAAGAGAACTGCTGTACAAAGAATCGCACGGTTAGCGATTACAACAGCCTTCGAGGAGACGATAATCTAAATGCGAGACGTTTGATCTCGCTTTCATCAAGCGTCAACTCATCGTCCGCGAGTTTCGCTGCGCTCTGGTTGTCCAAGTATTCGCGTTGTTATCACGGTCCGGCTACTTGCGAGTCGTTATCGTGTCCGCTACGAAATTCATTTATCTCATCGCAAGCAAGTTCCGGTGACAGTTTCCAGGCTGGCTCTGGTTCCAAGGCATCCGTTGCCTCCGCGGAAACCATTTTTGTCGAGATGTTAATCAGTCACGCGATTCGATCACACGGTGATAGAGTTCAAAACGTACCCGATGCCGGTCCTACTCGCGATGAGCGTTGCGTCAAAAAGGTTCCGAAAAGAGGTGCACTTTTTCTGGAGAAAGGAGAAACGTAGACGGCGCAATACATGATCGTGGAAGATCTGAAAGAAGAGGGATTTCTTCTTGCTCCGAAAAATGGGTTCGTCGTGTCAAAGTTACAAACTCTTCGTGTCGCGGAATATTAACATTGTGTTATTTCTGTCGTACAAGATATCGGATGAAAATAAATACTTGCGTGCACTGACAGCTTGTTCCAATGTTCGCCGTTTCGAAGTGAAATCTCAATTAGATTGGCAAGATGTGCCGTTTTGTATTCACAGAGATAACCTACCAATTTATTTGCCAGCTTCGAAATCACGATTTCCGCGAGGTTGGCGTTGGCGATCATAAAATTCTACAGAGGCGTGACCGTCGCTTTGACATCGTGGAGACCGCCGCGATTGTAAACATTGCGTGCCGGTCGCGGATGGAAAGGGTGATCGAACAATACGATAGGAGCTACTGTCAAATGGTGTATTTTCGATCGGTGAATGACAGATGACAGGAGGAAAGGATCGTGGAGCGAGGAACGAGTTGTTTTGGATGCACTTGTTATTCAGCGGCTGTTGACGCAATACATTTTCGAAACACTCACCTACGATATCGTCGTCGTTTACCAAGAAGATGAGCTGGGCTGACGGCGCAGACAGTGCTGGAACGAATCGAAATGTCTTTGGTGAAAATTGCGAATAAATATCGTTATCACAAGAAACACAGATCACAGCGACGGAAGCGGTCCCGGCGAACGATATCACAAACGCTGGTTGCCGATTTTAGCAGCAGAATGCTAGCAAAACTCGATGCACTGAACACCCTAACGTACCCTTAAAGCGTGCTACAGAGAAAGCCTGGGTTCGTTCGGTTGGCGATTGCAATAACTTCTAAATAGAGTCGATGCACCGGTGCAACGCTGCGAAAGAGAAGTAAGAAACCACTTCAATCGGCAACGACCACTATATGTTTTTATCCGCTTTTTTGCAGTTCGTTCGGGTACACGGCTAATCGCGCTCCCCCTTTCTCTCTATTATATCTTATTTCTTTTTTGCCGCACTGTTCCTGCGTACGTTTGTGTTCTTGATCGTGGAACGCGATCAATTATGCAGCGGAGGAAAGACTGGCTGACCGACTGGCTGACCAACTCGCAGCTGCGATCGTAGCACGTGGTTGCCGCGGCGAGTTTCAGGTTCGAAATAAATAAGTTGCAGGCGAAATCACCGAGTTATAGAGCAGCGCGGCTGCCCCGAACGACTCGCTCGGCTCGGCTCAACTCGGGAGTAAGCATTCCGTTCGCGCACGATGGCTCCAAAGCGCTCTTACACATCAGGCAAGCCGAGCAGTCGGTCTTCGACCACCGAGCCGGCTGATTCTCCTATCCGTCTTCCGCTCCTTACTTTTACATTCAGTTCCTAGGAACTGTTAGCTCTAGAGCTAACACTCGGTAGTATCATCGTTTTCGAATCAATCATTACTAAACTGCAGATTTTATGCGTTTAGGATATTGTTGCATTATTCTCGACTGATTACGATTATTAAAAGAAGGAAGACATTTTTATCTAAGTATCTACTCGATCTACTCAATTTTCAACATTGCCACTGAGCAGCATCTGTCTCTGTTTTTGAAGCATTATTAATGACATTAGAAGAATTTAAGGATATTGTTACGTTACGTTTAACTTATTGCAATTATCAAAAGAGGAAAGACATTTTTATGTAACTTACGTTTCGTATAGAATTAACTTCGACAATTTTTACATTTTATTAGGAACCACGGCTTAATCATCAATATGGTAATAACGTATCTGATCAATTTTCGACACTACAACTCAACAGTATCTTTGTTTCTGAAGAATTGTTACTACGTTAATAATGTATTTACTCAGTTTTTAACACTGCAATTCAATAGTGTTATTTGTCTTGAGGAATTAGTTATACGTTAACGTTGACTTTATCTAATTGTCAACTTAATTGTTTTCGCTCCCTTGCTTTGCCATTTAATATTTCCTTCATTCAATTATTAATCATTTGTAAGCAAAGACGAAACTGCATTTTTAAATACTTGATTTACGTTCTATATTGAGACTTATTAGTACGTAGAAAATTATTCATTAAATGTTTACGTATACTTGGTGTTCCATAGCATACGTGACCCACTTCAGGAATAGATTTTACACATGAAAACAATAAAAAAAGTTCATATAAACATAGGTTCTATTCGACTTTGTTTTCGAGTTAAGACAAGTTGTTGGGAATGTGAGCAAATACAATGCGTTAAGAAAGAAATTCGTCATAACTGAGAAACGTAGTCAAACAGGAGATATGTTTACACTAACTTTTTTTTTATTGTTTTCATGTATTGTATATAGTACCGAACACCCTGTATGCTCAAATATATAACAACGCGTAACATAATACTAAATAAGTCGCATGGTTTTGATAGGAAATATTTTGCTTCTCTATCACGATATGAAGGTCACCCTCAATTTTTTAAATGGAATGGTTTATATTTCCTTTCGAATTCGGATAAAGCGTCGAATTCTACATATAAAAAAAAGTATTACAGAAGATAGGGTCCAAAATAAATAGTTGTTTGTTTTACACATTCCTTCGTACTACGAATATTTTATGAGTTATTTGATTTGAATGTTACTGTTGTTTGAATGTTACTGCATATTGTTTCGCTTATAAACAGAAAGGATCTCGTTTTTCATAAAAAAAATTAAGAACTTAATACATTTGTTATTATTTTCAACATTCATTTGAGATATTTATTTATTATAAAATGATCGATGGAATGATATTTCCAATGTCAACGTTAATTCCCTAAACGTGAATACCGATAACTATGAATAACATGTGTCAAATATTTATGCAGGCTTTATATTTGTACCTAATTACAATCAGCAACATTGAGTTGAATTATATTCCTTTTTTCAATTCCTTATTTTTCCATTCAATTTATGTTGCTGCAACGTTGTTGTTAATGCATCTTCCCGATGTTACACAAATAAATTTTATCAACTCTTTAATGAAATTTTTCTTTTTTGCACACGCTTCTATTTGTATAAATTTGTAACGTCAATTCTCTGTTTTTATGTTGTTAGGATTCACCAACGATTTTCCCTTCCCCGTAACGTTTCCATTTTTCGTTTTTCTAATTGCTTCTATTTTATTAGTTAAGAAGTTTTGTTAATTATTTCTAAATCGTAAATCTTTTCATTCGAGTCTGAATCATTATTTTTCTACTTGAATAACTTTTTGATAACCTCTTACACAACGTACAAGTAGTTCCGATTGAAAACCGTCCTTCGATAGACTTTTAATCAAAGCAGATTGATTGAAAGTACTTCAACTTGATTAAGGCATTGTTTCGCTAGTTAAAAATAGATGAGCACCCACACGGGTTGGATTCCTTCTACTTTGGACTTCTCGTTCTCGTAATTTACAATAGGTTTCTTCTATTTGATCATGTTAACAAGCCAATAATTTCTAATAAACTAATACTGTTAAATTACATCGTAACGATTCATTTATACATATTATTCAAAAGCTTGATATGCAATATCAAGTCACTAATAGCTGAACATTGAAAATCCCAATGTTATAAAAAGATATAAAAGATTATACGTATAATCATACAAAATTGTAAACAACTCATGATCCTGTAAATTGTATTTTTTGCAGGTAAAATATGCAAAATGGATATGAATCTTACGCTCGTAGAATATGCAAATATGCGCAAGAATGTGCCTTTATGCAATAAAGATGTGTGTTAAATTGTAGCAATCGTCCGAATAATTGTTTGTAACATTGAGTCTTTAAAAACAGACCAATCTGCGTACTTTAATTAAAAATTTACGCTTAATAAACATAATGTTTACCTGATTTTTTCAAATTGTACCATGGAACCATAATGTATGTAATAATGCTACTAACTAATGTATGTAATAATACGCTACTAATCTAATAGCATAATTACATGTACATATAAATTACGTTACTAAAACTAACAGGTTTATCGCAGACCTTGCATTAGACGGATGTCTTGTTAGCTCCGTCACTAATGAAACTTTAATCGTTTATGCACGCAATCTATTTCCGCATGAACTCATATATGTATATCTACTGTTTCTTATTTCCCTCATTTTTAAATATAACGTTTCAGGAATAATGTCACAATTAAACTAACGGTTTCTCATGCTAAAGGATGTAATCATTTAAGATAATTCATTTAAGAAACGCTACACAATGATACGAACTACATACAGTGGTCCACAAAAGAGTTCGTGCATCTTTTAAAACGCAATAACTTTTTTAAAACTGGACTGAGTGACTTGAATTTTTTTCAGGTTATAGACTAGTCTACTAGACGATGACCAAAATGCCTTTTTTTTAATTTTGCTATTACTTAGGATAACAAAAAAAAAAAATAAGAAACTCTAGTTTTTTAACTTTTTTATCCGAGCCTATAACAAAAATTTAAAAAATGCCTTTCGTAGAACCCGGTAACTTATATTCGTGTTGAAAATTTGATCGAAATCGGTTAACCTAGAGTTGAGTTAGAAGCGTTGAAAGATTTAAAAAACTGCAGATTTCTTCCAGTTTTTGATCACAATTTGTTATAACTCTTAACAACGTCAACCGATTTCAATAAAATTTTCACCGAGATTACGAGAGATATTTTTTAAATTTTCATCATAAGCTCGGATAAAAAAGTTAAAAAACGAGAGTTTTTTATTTTATTTTGTCATCCCAAGTAATAGCAAAATTAAAGGGAAAGCTTTCTAGCCATCGTTTAGTAGACTAGTTCCTCTATCATCTAAAAAAACCTTAAATCGTTTGGTTCGGATTTGAAAAAGTTATTGCGTTTTAAAAGGTGTACGATCACTTTTGTGG